GGACTTTGTCTTTCACATCTTCTCTGGAAACCCTGGCGGAGTGCACTTGGCTACTTTTGGTACTCAAACATGGACTACCAAACGGTGGGTTGCTACCTGAATTGCAGGAAGAAACACGCTAGACTTTAGGAGACAGGGCTTGTGTATCTTAGTGGCAATGACAGGTGCAAGATCATAATAAGTGTGTCTTTTTTTTTTTTTTTTAATACCTTCACAGCCATGGCACAATGAAGGGCACATTATCAGGTTGAGATTGAATGAATCAGCAGTTGTAAATTAACATTTGGGCAGAGCTCATTACCTATTCAAGTGGACACTGGGGACCATCGTTTTGCTGGAGAGGATTTTTTTTACTATTATTTTGTGGTAGTAGGATTCGATGAATCTTAAAATTGTCTTCCAACTCCTAAAATCTATGATCTTCCAAATGAAATAGGCGCTTTACAATTTCCCTGTTCCTTGTCACACAACACTGTCCATTTGCTCCAGTCTTCCCCCTTCCTGCCTCCCTGTCGCCCTCTCTGGCTCTGTTCCCTTATCCAGAGTGCCCTCCTACCGCTAAATCTTAACTTGCAACATCTCTTGGCTTCACGCCTTTCATCCACTGTTTCCTCCTTCCCACGCACACTCTTGGTTTCCTTCCAGCTCTTCTTCTCTTTCTCAAACTCTCACGCCCCTTCCTTCCCTCTCTCTCTTTCTCTCCTCCTTGTGCTACTCTTTCCTCCCTCTCCTTCCTTGCTCTCTCTACTTCATTTTCAGTCCTCTCAGCCCCCTCCTTCCCGCTCTGTCTTACCCTAGTTTGGAAATGCAGCAGACCTCTGAGCCTGCCACCATTGGATGCCAGGGGACGTCACTCTGCAGCAGGAGGAGCTCCTATTGGTCGGGCTGGAGGCGGGTACCGGAGCCGAATATAAAAGGTGGGGCTCGAGGAGGCGCGCGGAGCTGTTCTGACAGGACGGTGCCGGAGGGACTCCCCTGGCGAGAGCTGAGCGCCGAGAACCCGGGCTGCTGGCACCGGAGCAGAGTCTCTCCGCACTAACTCTCATCTCCTGGTCAGCCGGGGCCCCTGCCTCAGAGCCCTGCAACTCTAGGCCGTCGGCCGTGCAGTCCCGAGGGCCCCTCACCTCGCCTGCGCGTGCCGCGCCCCGCGCGCCCTGTCCGGCCGCCGCG